GCTGCCTCCCCTCCTCTCCTCTCCTCTCCACTTTCCTCTCCTCTTTCCTCTCCTCTTTTTCCTCTCCTTTTTTTCTTTTCCTCTCCCTGTTTGTTGTAGTTTTACCCCACTTCTTGAGCAATGTTTCAGCAAATGGGGCACTGGCAGGAGATTTCCTGGGGGAAGCAGCAGCAGGGCAGCCGAGGTTTGGCCGTGGTGCCGAGGGGGTGCCCGGGTGTACCCCCAGTGCCCTCCTGGCCTTCCCCACCTCCACCCAAAACCATCCAGGAGAAAAGTTACTGTGCCTTGTTGTGGGAAAAACAAGGAACGTCCCATCAGGACCAGTTCCAAAAGGTGACCTAACCTTTACCTATGTACCAGCTTGCATCAGATAGAGAGAACTTCTTTTATTTTTATTTTTTTTCAGTGATTGTTTTTACCTTTCTTCACACAGTTCTCAGTCTCTCCTCACCTCAGTGCCTGCATTTGCTCTCTCCCCTCATGGCTCCAGGCTGTTGTGCTTCTTCCACACGTGGCCCCTAAAAGGTGCTGCCACGCACAAGGGAAACCAGTCCCCAGAGGGGTTCTCAGCCCTGTGCCAGTGAAGCAGAGCAGGAGGAGCTCTCCTGGAAGGCCTGGGAGAGCTGCTGACGAGTTAAACGCAGACCTGGAGCTGCTCACTGCCCGTGGTGACCTCCAAAGAGGCCTTGCAGGCCCTGGGCCTGCTACACGTGGCTGCTTGGGCGTTCTTCAAATGTGTTTTATTTCCAGTCAGGAATCCGTAATCTCACAGAGGCAGAGCAAAGCCCTGTCAGAGTGATGCAAAGCACCTCTTGCTGCCCTGACCCAGGGCCCAAAGGTCCCTGCAGGGATGCCCAGCTTGTTCTCCAGACCCATCTCCAGGTTCTCTTCCTGTCCCATCCCTCCAGGCCAGGCTGTTCTCCTGTCCAATCCCTCCAGGGATGCTCAGGTTGTTCTGGCTCCCATCTCTCCAGGGATGTCCAGGTTCTTCTCCTGATCCATCCCTCCAGGGATGCCCAGGTTGATTTCCTGACCCATCTCCAGGTTCTTTTCCTGTCCCATCTCTCCAGGGCTGTCCAGGCTGTTTTCCTGACCCATCTCCAGGTGTTTCTCCTGTCCCATCTCTCCAAGGATGCCCAGGCTGTTTTCCTGACCCATCTCCAGGTGTTTCTCCTGTCCCACCTCTCCAGGGATGCCCGGGCTGTTTTCCTGACCCATCTCCCCAGGGCTGTTCTGGTTCCCATCTCTCCCTGACCCATCTCCAGGGTTTTTTTTCCTGTCCCATTCCCCCAGGGCTGCCCAGCTCCGAGTCCCCCTGTCAGTGCCACTCCCTGTCCCCAGTGGTCCAGCTGGGACAAATCTGCTGCTGGCAGATTCCTGCCCCTCCAAGAGGAGCTGGCCCAAGTCAGGAACGACCCCAGGTCAGGAGGAAAGGCTGGATTGGTGCTGGGAGCCCCCAAACTCAGCAGTGCCCAGCCCTGCCTGGCCTAAACGAGCTCTTTGGGACTCTTATTTTTCTTTGTGGAGGTGTGTGGGCAGCCAGAGGCACTGGTGAGGTTGGGCTGGAGGGTGAAATGTTGCTATTTTGGCAGAGTTTTGTCAGCCTGTTCCTTGGCTGGGTGACTCCCCTGCTGTCTGAGCCGGGCCCTCAAAGGTTTGGGATCGTCCCTTTCCCGTCAGGGGTCACTGTTTTTGTTAGAGTTCTTCTCAAATTAAAGGCTGCCAGCCTCCCTTTCCCACAGTGCTGGCTTGCAGCTGCTTTGGGGACAGATTTGGCACTGCCTTAACCACTTCCAGAAACAGTTTTGGGGTCTGGACTTCCTACCCTGAGCTCTGTCCGCTGCAGGCTGCAGCAGGAAGGATTTGGGACAAAATCCTATTGCCAGAGCTGGGGTGTCCTGGAATAAATCCCCCCCTGACTGAAAAGCCCTTTATTTTGAATATTTCTCCTGTAAATGTGAGGAACTTTCCCTGCACAGAGGCTGCTCTGATGCTCAAATGCTTTTGATAATTTAAGTGCCTAAAGTGCTTCCACACTGAGCTTCAGGTGAAGGGGTTTGGTGGGAAAGGGCTCAAATCCTTCATTTCAGGTGAAGGGGTTTGGTGGGAAAGGGCTCAAATCCTTCATTTCAAACCCCCAGGTGAAAAACAGAGACTCAGAGAGGGGCAGAGCTGGGGCTTATAGCAGGAGATCAGGGCAAGGGAGCAGGAGGATGAGGAAATCTTCGCAAAAAAGGCTTTTTTTGGCTTCTTCTAAGAAAATTTCTGTGTCAGGATCACATGTAAGACCAGGTCTGGGTAGGAGCATCCCTTCCCTGCTGTTCCTGATATTCCCTGTGTGACCACAGAATTTCTCTAGGATTTGCTCCTGTCTGGCCACAGGTTTGGGTACGAGCTCCTCAGAGCCGGCGAGCAGGAGCTTTTCTCTTCCTCACAGGTGAATCGTGCCTCACCTTTCCTTGGTGGAGTTTGGAACGTGGAGGAGGGATAAATTGTTGTGTAAATTCCCAAGGGTAGGGAAGGACTGGGGGGATGGATGGATGCTGGTTTTCCTTTTTGAGGTCACATCCTGCCCGCGAGACGTTCGTGGTTTATTTATTCGCTAGAGTGAATATTTTGTATACGGCGCCAGAGGAAGGCTTTTATTATAAATTTTTATGGAAAAAGGGGGGGAAAATAAAAGGTGGAAAAAGGGAAAAACGCCTGAGCTGGCCGCGGGGGGGCGCCACCACTGCGTGGGGAGGGGGCGTGGCCAAGGAATGACTGACAATGTGTGGGCGTGGCCAAGGAATTACTGACAGCGCATGGGTGTGACCAATGAATGACGTGCTGTGGTGGGCGTGGCAAATGAATGAGTGATTGTGCAGGGGTGTGGCCAGAGAATGACTGACATAGTGGGGGCGTGGCCAATTGTTGAGGGGTGGAGTTTGGGACGTGGCCAATGAATGATGGATGTGGCTGGGGTGTGGCCAATGAATGAGGGGAGGGGTTGAGAGCCTGGGCGTGGCCTGGATGTCACTTTTGGGATGGGGACAGGCGGGAGTGTGGTCAGAGGGCGGGGCCAGTGAATGGGTGGGGCATGGGGAATGGGGCGGGGCTTTAAGTGGGGAAGAGTCAATGAGTGGGATTAGGGCGTGGCCAGGGACAAAGGGGCGGAATGAGGGTGGGGTAGATGGCAGGGCGGGAACATGGGCGTGACCACACTGTGGGGGCGGGGTTAGTGTTTTATGGGCGGGGAAATCGGCATAGTGGGCGTGGCCAGGAGCGTTCCAGTGATGTCCCGGCTCCGAGTGGCACCGGTGTCCCCGCGGTGTCACTGTGGAGCCGCACAGCCGCTCCTTTTTCCCCAAAAAGCTCCGATCCCGCTCGCCCCGCCAGGTGCGGGACAAATCCCGAGCAGGAGCCGCTCCCGGCTGCTGTCCCCGGGGATTTGGTGACACGGTGTCAATCAAAGCCTCCGGGATTGAACCACGGCAGCCGGGAGTACCTGAGGATTCTGAGGAGCTGAGACCTTCCCTCCCCCTGCACGGCCATAAATGAGTGTTATTAATTATTACCAATACTTATCTGATGTGTTATCAGCGGTAATGTTAAGCGCTGCGAGGCTGTGGCACGGGGTCAGTGACACACAGTGACACAGCAGCACCCGGGGGTCACCCTTTCTGTGGCCTTCAGGGGTTTTTTCATTTTGTTTTGGTGTTTATAAATTTGAAGCCTTCCCCTGGCCCAGGTGTTTCGTTCAGACCCAAAATCTCACGAAGTTTCTCCCGGACCAGAAGAACTCGGTGAGGCTCAGCCCAAAGCCATCCTCAGGGACCCCAAAGCCACGACAAGGACGCACCTCACTCCTTGTCCCACCAGCAGCATCCGAGGGCTACAGCCCTGCCCAAAACCCCCTGCACACCTGGATCCACCTGGACTTAAAATCCCCACTTTGGGTCCCCCTGGATTCAAAAGCTCCCACACCTGGATCCACGTGGGTTCAAACTCCCCCGCACACCGGGATCCCCCTGGATTTAAAATCCCCGCCTTGCATCCACCTGGACTTAAATCCTGCCGCACACCTGGATCCCCCCGGATCCAAACCCCCCCGGATTCCCGCGGCCCCTGCTCCCTGCAGGACTCTCCTCTTTTTCCCGGAGCGCTTCCCAGCAGCGCGTGGAACCAGCGGCGGGGTCGCGGGATCTCCTCCGGGAGCGGCTCCAGCGGGGACCGCGCCGGGCCATCCCGGTGTCCCTGCCGGGCCATCCCGGTGTCCCTCCCGGCTGGCTTTCCCGTGCCAATGGGCCATCCCGGTGTCCCTCCCGGCTGGCTTTCCCGTGCCAATGGGCTCGGCGGCCGCGGCCGGCTGGCTTTCCCGTGCCCGGGGGTCCCGGTGTCCCTCCCGGCTGGCTTTCCCGTGCCAATGGGCTCGGCGGCCGCGGCCGAGCCCTCGGCGGGGCGGGGCGGGCCGGGAGCCGCCCCCGGCGGAGCCGCGGGAGCCGCGGGCGGCGGAGCGGGGTAAGGGGCGCGGGGGGCGCGGGGGTGCCGCTGCCGGCGCTCCCGGGACACCGGGGCAGGGCAGGGCAGGGGGGTGTGACCGGCAGCACCGGGCTCGGTGTGCCCAGCTCGCCCCGGCTCCGAGCCCCGCCGGGGCTGGGGGCTGCGGTGCAGCCGGAGCCTCGCTTGTCCTTGGGATTTACACCGAGGGATCGGCCACGCGTGGCAGCGGCTGGGACCGGGGGTTTGTCCCCAGAGGCTCGGTTCTGCACGGCCCGGGTGGTTCCCGGAGGTTACAGGTGTTTGTTCTCGTTGCTCGGTCACGGGAGGGGAGCCGTGACCCTCGGCTGCGTTCCCAGCTCCCGCTGCTTGTTGGCTGACCTTGGGCAAGCGCTGCTCTCCATGTGCCCGGGCTGCACATGGGCTGCTCTCCTGGGGCTCCGCGGCTTGCAAAAACTGCAGGAATACAAATGCAAAGGGAGGCTCGGGAACGGCGCTGCCCTTACCGCGAGGGACAGAGCCAGGGCTCCTTTCCTTGCGGTGACGCTGGGGTGGGTGACAGCGCTGGTGGCACTTTGCAAAGCGGATTGACAGGGCGGTGACACCTGTGACAGCTGCCTGTTGGCACGGAATGTGCCACCTTGCCCCACAGCAGCGCTCTGCCAGCTGGGGCATCACCAGTGCCCCAAATGAGACGGGAAACCGAGGAGCAGAGCGCTCCAAGAGCCTTCCCAGGGCTGCCCTGCTCAGACCTCCTGAGCCCTGAGCCAGCAGCTCAACCTCTGCACCTTCCTGCCCCCTGGTCATGCACTTCTTCCCGCTATCAGCTCAGCTGGAGGGTTGTGCTCCATGAGTTCAGAGCTGAATTCAGCTGTCCTGGGGGCATGCTGGAAGGATGGACATTCCTGAACTGCTCTGCAGGAGCTGCTTGGAAAATCAGGTTTTGGGACACTCTGGGAGAGGTAAACAGGAGCCTTTGGTAGCCAGAGGCGGGAGGCTTTCCCTGCAGAAAGAGGAGATGGAGAAGAAAAGACAAAAGATCCTGAAACTGGAGTGGAGCTGCCTGGAAGAGGTTGTTCAGAGCACAGAGTTGGACTCCACGTGGTGGAAAACGTGAAGCCTGGAGGCTGAGATTGGCCTGAACACCTCCTCACCTCTCGTGTGAGCAGTGACAGTGACAGTCCCTGGGCAGCACTGGGAGTGCCCCTGCTTCTTGTTCCTGGCAGGTTTGGCACCACGTAAGGGTTCTTTCCTAAGGAGAAGAGCATTTATATGGCATCCAGAGTGCTCCAAAATTCCCTCTCGCAGCTCTCAGGACCCTGAGGAGTGCTGATAACAAGGACTGGCCCGACTGGTTTGCAGCTCCACAGAAATCTCATGGAAAAAGTTCTGGAGGGATTTGGACAAAGGTTTTGGTTTTTTTCCTCCTGGAAACTCCAATTCTGCATTAGATACAAACAGGTCCCTGTGCCCTGGGTGGTTTGGTGCTCCAGAGCAGGACAGGGACAGTGGCTGCTCTGGGGGCCTTGGGCACCTCCCTCCCAGCCCGAGCCCCAGCAGGACCTGGGGGGTCTGTGACAGTCACCAGAGACCTCTGGAGCACACAGCTCCCACCTGGACACGCTGAGCTCTGTCTCAGCTGTTTGCAAATGCGGGGTTTGTGTCCTCAGGGGCCCTGGAGGTAAAGGAAAGGAAAGGAAAGGAAAGGAAAGGAAAGGAAAGGAAAGGAAAGGAAAGGAAAGGAAAGTTTAAAAAAAAAAGTGAGTGCAGCAGACAGGCCAAGGGCACCATCACGAGGAGTCTGGGGACACCTCCAGTGTGGCTTTAATTAGTAATTCTGACTCTGTTTGGAGCGAGAATCAAAGAATTCCCTTTGTTTAGGCCCTGCTTTGCTCCAGCCGGGCTGGGCCGCTCTCCGACGTGCCCGAGGCTGGGCAGACCTGCCTGGGCAGAGCTGCGGCGTGTCCGGGCACCGCGGTGCCCCTGGCACGGCTGAGCATCCCCAGCGCCCGGGGCTGGCTCGGTGTTACCTGTGCAGGTAGGCAGCCCTAACCCAGCCCTGTCTGTGCCAGGGCGTGCTCCTGCCCACGTCTGCAGCGTGCAGAAGCCCCAGGAGCCTCTCCAGGATCACAGTGAACTCCTGGCTCATCTGGAGCCATCCCCTGCGCAGAGCTGCCCTCGGGTGTGGGTGGCACAGGGAGGGATGAAGGGTTTCTTTGTGCGTTTTCACCTCCATAAACTCCCCAGAGAAGTTTGCTCCTGGGGGGACTCTGCCTCTTCGCTGGCAGCCAGCGGAGGAAAACGGTCAGCCCGTGTTTTTTCAGCAGCAGACTCTTTAAAAACAAAGGCGGCTGCCAGGTTCTGCTGTTTTCTTTTCGGTGCACGGCCCAGTTTTGTTAAAAGGTTGAGGTTTGCGTGTTTGTTTTCTCCTTTGGAAATAACCTCGCTGCCGTTCCCTTGCAGATGAACGAAGACTTCCCCAGCTGAGCTCTCCCAGCGGCTCCTGAGCCAAGAGCTGCGTGTGGGGAGGCACCAAATGGTCTCTGTGAGCTGCCAGGACCTGCTGCCCTCCCTGCCCGGCCCTTCCCTGCTCGAGAGCCTGGCCAGTGCCCTGCAGTGCAGGATGCCACCGTCCCTTCTGCCAGGACACGGCGGTGACAGGACGTGTGGCCACCCGGAGGGCTCTGGGCACGTCCTGGCGGGTGGCACCGGCCACGCTGAGCCTGTCCCGCTGCCCAGTGTCAAGGAGGAGCCCCCCAAAGCCCAGCTCACCGAGGCTCAGCTCAGGCTGCCCGACTTCTGCCTCTCGCAGGACTTCATCCCCACGCTGGAGGAGATCGAGGAGTTCCTCAGGGAGAAGGCAGAGCTCCCCAGGGATGAGGCAGGAGATCCTCACCCCACGGGGTGGAAGGTGGAGAGCAAAGCTGAGCTCGGCTCTGGGGCACAGCCCATCCCCAGGGCACACGAGGGAGGAGCAGGACATGTCCCAGAGGCTGTGGGGACAGCTGCTGGTGACCAGGGGCAGGCTGCTGACAACCAGGTGGTGGCTGCTGGTGACCAGGTCGTGGCTGCTGGTGACCAGGTGCTGGCTGCTGGCAGCATCCCCGTTGTCCTGCAGCTCCAGCCTCTCCCCATGGACAGCGTCACCCCCCCAGCACAGCCTGGGGGTGTCAGGGTGGCCCAGCTGCTGATCAGCCTGCAGAGCCCAAACCTGCCCGTCCTCCCTCAGCTCCAGCCCCCTGGCACCACCCTGGACCAAAAATACGTCAGAATTGCCCCTCTGCCGGTGGCCCCGGGGCCGGGGGACGTGCAGGGGGCAGAGGCAGCCCCCGGGGGGGGCCAGCAGGGCCCCCCTGCCCCGCTCCGCGCGCACCGCTGCTCCCACCCGGGCTGCGGGAAGGTTTATTCCAAGAGCTCCCACCTGAAGGCTCATTTCCGACGGCACACGGGGGAGAAACCCTACAGCTGTGCCTGGCCCAACTGCGGCTGGAGGTGAGTGGGGAGCTCTGGATGCGCAGGGAGCATCCCCAGCCCCGGGGAGAACAAAGCTTCCCTCCCGCTGCTGCCGCTCCGGGCTGGATGTGGAGCTCCAGGAAAGCGTTCCCAGCCTGGGTGGGAATGTGCTTTCTGTTGAGGAGTGACTAAATGATCTTTTGTTTCTTTAAAAAGGAAAACAAGCTTAGAAGGCTTTTTCCTCAATTTAGTAAAAAGACACTTTATAAGAGCTTAGGGATTTCACCTTCAACTTTAAGATACTTAATTAGTAGGTATCTTAAATTAGTAAGTGTTTTCCAGTGTCCAGCCTTCCAGTACCATAAATGGGCTCATAAAAAGGAGAAATTTCACATGGACAGAGAGCAACAGGACAAGGGGCAGTGGTTTGAAATGAAAGCAGGCGAGTTTAGATCAGATGTTAGAAATAAATTCACTCAGAAGGTGGTGAATGCAGATGTCTCATCCCAGGCACTGCTCAAGGCTGGGCTGGATGGGACCTGATCTAGAGAATGGCACCCCTGCCCATGACCTGGAACTCCATTATTTTTAAGGTCCTTTTTACTCAGTTTAGTAAAAAGACACTTTATAAGAGCTTAGGGACTTCACCTTCAACTTTAAGATCCCTAATTAGTAGGTATCTTAAATTAGTATTTTCCAGTATCCAGCCTTCCAGTACCTTAAATGGGCTCATAAAAAGGAGAAATTTCACATGGGAGAGAGCAACAGGACAAGGGGCAATGGTTTGAAATGAAAGCAGGCGAGTTTAGATCAGATGTTAGAAATAAATTCACTCAGAAGGTGGTGAATGCAGATGTCTCATCCCAGGCACTGCTCAAGGCTGGGCTGGATGGGACCTGATCTAGAGAATGGCATCCCTGCCCATGGCCTGGAACTCCATGATTTTTAAGGTCCTTTTTCCTCAATTTAGTAAAAAGACACTTTATAAGAGCTTAGGGACTTCACCTTCAACTTTAAGATCCCTAATTAGTAGGTATCTTAAATTAGTATTTTCCAGTATCCAGCCTTCCAGTACCTTAAATGGGCTCATAAAAAGGAGAAATTTCACATGGGCAGAGAGCAACAGGACAAGGGGCAGTGGTTTGAAATGAAAGCAGGCGAGTTTAGATCAGATGTTAGAAAGAAGTTTACTCCAAGGTGGTGAATGCAATGTCTCATCCCGGGCTGGATGGGTCCTGTGCAGCCTGATCCAGAGGATGGCATCCCTGTCCATGGCCTGGAACTCCATGACCTTTAAGGTCCCTTCCAACCCAAACCTTTCTAGGATTCAATGAACTTTGTACAATCGGGTTCCTCAGGTGGTCATGAACCTTAGGCTGAAAGGTCTCCCCTAAGTAATTCACTAGAAAAAGAAGAGAACAAAGAAAGTAATCGCTTTTGTGGGGTGTTTTTACCAGCAGTAAAACACCTAGGAGTAAAAACTCTCCCTTGCTCCTAGCTCAAGTTTTCTCTGTAAAGAGCTTTTTAATTTTGCCTTTTATTAGAAGTTTTCTGTTTCTGACACTACCTCAGAAGCCATCCTGCTGATTTCATGCCTTTAAGGTAGCTGGGCTGTCTCAGGTGTGATGGGTTCTCTGAGAGCTCACGAGACCTGGCTAGAAGAGAAAACCTGTCACTCCTGAGCTCTTTTCCAAAAAAATGATTTTAAATCCGCGCTGCCGGAAGCTTCCAGCAAGGGAAAACAAACGGAGGAAGTGGGGGACAGCGTCCTTTGAGAGAGAGGGAAAGGAATTCACATCTCAGTGGGTGAATTCTTTTCCATTTCCAAATCCTTGGAAGTGATCTCGGGAGCTGGGGGTGCCTCTGCCCGCTCTGGGGGCACCCACGAGGCTGTGCCAGGGACAGATCTCTGTGCCAGGGTCGCTGTGCCTGATTTGTTAATCACAATTCTATTGTGAATCAAAAAACAAAACCAGTACTTTATATGTTTATTCTTATAAACCCTTAGAAGGGTTGATAAATTGTGATTATTGTGGTTTTTTTTAATCACAATTCCACTGTGAATCAAAAAATAAATCCAGTTTTATTATTATTTTATATGTATATTTTATATATACATATAAAGAAATAAAATGGAAATAAATAAATATAAATAATAAATAAAATAGTACATATTTTATTTATTATCTTATATGTTTTATTTTTATCAACCCTTGGAAGAGTTGGTAAGTTGTGATTATTGTGATTTTTTAAATTCACAATTCTATTGTGAATCAAGAAATAAAACCAGTATTTTATATGTTTTAATTAGTATCTTACATCACATAATTTCTACTTTAATATTATGTTATAGCCTAAAACTATATTTACCACAAAATTTAAAAATTAAATAAATAATAAAAAATAAAAGAAATAAAAAATAAAATAAATAATAAAAAATGAAATAAATATATAAATTGTAAATATATATAATATGTATATTTACATATTATATATATTTAAATAGTTATGTATTATATAGTTATATATTCATAGTTATATATTATATATATTTAAATATTTAAATATTATATATATTTAAATAATATAAATAGAAAATATATAATATGTAGAACAAATATTAATAAATAATGTAAATATTTAAAATATGTAAAATTATATGTATTATAAATTATTTATATTAATATATAATATATAAGATATTAAGATAACTAATTAACAATATATAAATTAAATATATGAAAATATTTAAATTAAATATATGAAAATATATAAATTAAGAATATATCAAAATAAATTATATCTAAAAAAAATAAATAAAAATAAAATAAATAGAAATAAAAATAAATAAATACATTTTTTAAAAACTAAAAAGTATTTACACAGCACTACAAATGAACACAACACAACTTTCCAACACAACACTCCTTTTAACATTTGCAGAGAGCCGATCTCACCGGCTGCACTTCCCTCTGCAGGTTCTCCCGCTCGGACGAGCTCTCCCGCCACAAGCGCTCCCACTCCGGCCTCAAGCCCTACCCGTGCCCCGCCTGCGAGAAGAGGTTTGCCCGCAGTGACCACCTGGCCAAGCACCTGAGGATCCACGGGGGGCAGCCCTGCAGCCCGGGGGCGCTCCCCTAGTGCCTGCGTCCCCAGGTGGGCACTTACCTCCTTCTTTATCTCTCCCACGAGGGGTGCTCCTGCCTTCCTTAGCAGAACCTGGCTGTTCAAACCAAGACAGAGCAGGAGTTAATTCCTGCTGCTCCTCCCTGCCAGCCTGGGCCCGGCAGACAGAGCAGAACCCGCTGCTGAGGAGGAGGAAATGACTCCTGAGCAGACAGGAGACTTTGCTGTGCCTCTTTTCAAGAGTGATGATGTTCCCAAGTTGTTTCTGGCCCTGCACTTTGAAATATGCGTGATGGAAATTGGCATGGATTTGGGGTGTGTGTAGGAACGTTGGGGTAAAACAGGAATTAGGTGTTTTAAAATCCCAGGATCCCAGAATGGTTTGGGTTGGGAGGGACCTTAGAGCTCATCCCATGGGTAGGGACACGTCCCACTATGCCAGGGTCCTTGGACACTTCCAGGGATCCAGGGGCAGCCAGGGATTCTCGGGGAATTCCATCCCAGCCCCTCATCATCCTCACAGCCAGGAATCCCTTCCCAAATCCCATCTATCCATGCTCTGGCAGTGGGAACCATTGCTGTGTGCTGTCCCTCCATCCCTGATGGAACAGGGATGGATTGATGGATGGATGGATGGATGGATGGATGATGGATGGAGGGATGGATGGATGGATGGATGGATGGATGGATGGATGGATGGATGATGGATGGAGGGATGGAGGGAGGGATGGATGGATAGATGGATGGAAGGATGGATGGATGGATGGAGCTCTGTGCTGTGCAGCAGCTGCGGGGGCTGCAGCAGATATTGACACTTTCCAGCTTAGTTGTTCAGTCCCTAAATCTGCTCTTTTTTTGTGCTGGTCGTTTCCCACCGGGCTGGCCCTGGCCACCGTGGTGTCCTCTGGGTGCTTGACAACACGAGTGGGACAGCAGATGGATTTTGTGGAGCCTCAAAGCCACCAGGAGAACAGCAAGCAGCACCAGCCAAGCCCTTTCCACCCCAGAAGGACATTTCCAAGGGGACACACGGACGTGTGAGGAGCCTGGAGGAGCTGGGAGCTCCTGCCAGGGCTGCAGAGCAGCTCCAGGCTGCTGACGTTCTCCTCCTGTTTGCCTTGGGGTTAATTAAAGTCCAGCTCCTCGCTGCCGTGCCAGCTCCCCGAGCTTTTGCAAACATCTGGGAGGGAAGGAGGCGCTTGTACAAACACAGCTCAGCGTCAGGAGCTGCAGCAGGGCCGGGTGCCCTTTCCACGTGGCTGTGCCAGCCTGTCTCAGGCTGGTTTTTCGTGCCTGCAGGCTCTGAGCCGGGCTGGGCTCGTGCCCTCCTGCTGATGCCCCGATGCCCTGGCAGGGCACAGCGCCACGTGCTGCCCTTGAGCTGCTCTGGGGAGGGGAGCCGAGCGCCCAAAACACGGCAGGGAAATCAACTCAGCTCTTCTCGATGCCCTGTGGAGGGCAGGTTGGGACCTCAGAGGTTGGAGAGATTTGGAGAGCAGAGGTTGGAGAGGTGTGACCACATGTACCAGCTGTGCCAGGTGTGCCAGCTGTGCCAGGTGCCAGGAGGAGTACAGCCCAGCTGGGGTGATGCTGCAGGACCAGCAGCTGGCTCTGCCTGAGCCTATTTTGGGCTGCCTTTTGTTCCAAAGGCTTTGCCTGGCTCGGAGCTCACTCTGTGCCCCCTTTGCTGTGGGGCTCTGTGCCCGGTCCCCATGCCAGCCTGGCTCAGGTCACTCTCTGCCCCCTTTGCCACTCTGTGCCCAGTCCCCATGCCAGCCTGGCTCAGTTCTCTCCATGCCCAGTCCCCATGCCAGCCTGGCTCAGTTCTCTCCGTGCCCAGTCCCCGTGCCAGCCTGGCTCAGTTCTCTCCATGCCCAGTCCCCGTGCCAGCCTGCCTCAGTTCTCTCCGTGCCCAGGCCCCGTGCCAGCCTGGCTCAGTTCTCTCCGTGCCCAGTCCCCGTGCCAGCCTGGCTCAGTTCTCTCCATGCCCAGTCCCCGTGCCAGCCTGGCTCAGTTCTCTCCATGCCCAGTCCCCGTGCCAGCCTGCCTCAGTTCTCTCCGTGCCCAGTCCCCGTGCCAGCCTGGCTCAGTTCTCTCCATGCCCAGGCCCCGTGCCAGCCTGGCTCACGCCCGTCTTGTGCTTTTATCTGCCCCCTTTGCTCTGCCTGGCTCCAGACGCTCTCCCAGCACTCCCTGCTCCTCCTGGACCTGCCCCGTCCTGCCTCCCTCGCTCCCCGCCGCAGGCAGCGTGGAGCTGGCAGAGCTTCCAGGTTTTAGAGTGAGGTTTGGGTTCTGTGGCATTCACATTCTCTGAAATAATCCCTTCACCCAGGATTTTTCTCCTGGGAAGCTGAGAAGCATCAGACAAAAAAGAAAACAATTCTTGTCTCATTTGCTTCTCCTGTGTTGTGCTCGCATGTGGAATGTGTTTGGGGATGGTTCACCCACAGGTGATTGTTTCACTGGGTTCTGCTGTGAGTTGTTTTGACTCTTCCACCGATTGGGGCCAAGCTGTGTCAGACTCTGGAAAGAGTCACGAGTTTTCATTATTATCTTTTTACCATTCAGTAAGTATCCTTTCTGTATTTTTTTGGTATAGAATAGTATTCTTTAATATAATATAGTATTATAAAATAATAAATTAGCCTTCTGAGAACGTGGAGTCAGATTCATCATTCCTGCCTTTGTCCAGGCATTCCCAGCAAATACAAATACAGGGCTCCATCCTCAATCCAAGGCCCTTCTCTGCTCCCCAGAGGGGCCACCCTGCTCCTGGGGTGGCTCTGCTGTGGAGGACAGGGTGGGAGCGCTGGGAGCCGGCACTTGGAGCTGCCCTGGTTTTTGTTTTGCCATCCCTTTCAGCCAGCCACAAAGGCAGAGGAGATATTTTTACAAAATAAACCACCCTAGGTCCGTATCTCCTGTGCAATGCCCGCTGGAGTCTCACCTGCTTCCCTCTGGGGGCTCTGGGTGGCTCCAAAGCTTTGCTGGGGGTAGGGAATTCCCTCTGCTTTGCCCCAGTGAGGTGGGGCTGCATAGAAATATTCCTGCTGGAAGCTGGGACTGTGGCAGCAGCAGGGACGAGGCTGCTCCCACCTGCCCGCAGCTCTGGGGGGCACGGGAGGGGACAGGAGAGACACTGGGGGTCACAGGAGGGGACAGGAATGTCACTGGGGGGCACAGGAGGGGACAGGAGTGTCACTGGGGGTCACGGGAGGGGACAGGAGTGTCACTGGGGGTCACGGGAGGGGACAGGAGTGTCACTGGGGGTCACGGGAGGGGACAGGAATGTCACTGGGGGACCACCTGACCCTTGGCGGGGGCTGAGAGGGAGCAGGGCCCTGTGCTGGCCACGGATTCCCTGCTGGATGAGGGGGAATGGCAGGAGTGGGAATGGGAAGAGAGGGAATGGGAAAAGTGGGAATGAGAAGAGTGGGAATGGCAGGAGTGAGAATGGGAGGGAGTGGGATTGGGAGGAGTGGGGATGAGAAGAGTGGCAATGGGAAGCAGTGGGAATGGGAGGAGTGGGAAGGAGTGGGGATGGGAAGAGCAGGAATGGGAAGGAGTTGGAATGGCAGGAGTGGAAATGGCAGGGTGGGAATGGCAGGAAGGGAATTGCAGGAGGGAATGGCAGGAGTTGGGATGGCAGGAGCAGGATGGCAGGAGCAGGATGGCAGGAGCAGGATGGCAGGAGGGAATGGCAGGAAGGAATGGCAGGAGGGAATGGCAGGAGTTGGGAAGGCAGGAGGGAGATGGCAGGAGGGAATGGCAGGAGGGAATGGCAGGAGCGGCTGCCTGGTGCTGCAGCCAGGGCTGCCAGGTTGCTAGGCAGAGCTCTTGAAGAACTCCACAGGCAGGAGCTGGAGCGGGGCAGGACGTGGGAGAGCACAAAGAGGAGCTCAGGCGCTGTTGCTAAATTTGCAGCTGGGGCTGTGGAGAAAGCAGGAGCAGCAGAGCCTTCCCTGCCTGCCTGCCTGCCTCCCCGGCAGCACGAGTGACAGCAGTGACATCCCCGGGCTGCCCACGTGGAGCTCGTGCTTGGCTGCTCATCCTGCAGGATGAGCCAAGGGCAAATCCTGCTTTAAAGCCCCTTTGGAAATACAGCCCTAAGATGGATCACACCATGAGGGGGTTATTTCTTTCTTCTTTTTTGTTTTTTTCCCTAATAAAGTCAGAACTGGATTTTTATTAATCCTAAACTGGCTCTGGCAGGGTTGTTTTGTTGTACTACATTGTTTATTTTATTTTTGTTTTCTTTCCTAATAAAGGACTGTTATTCCTGTCCCATATCTTTTCCTTAGAGCCCCTTAATTTTAAAATCATAACAGTTCAGAGGGAGGGGTTTGCACTTCCCATTTCAGGGGGTGCTCCTGCCTTCCTTAGCAGAACCTGGCTGTTCAAACCAAGGCACAGCTCAACGTGCTGGAGCAGGGCCCTGGCAGGCTGGGATCAGCTGCTGCAGAATGTTCTGGCTTTCCCTGTGCTTCCCATTCCCTCCTGCCCCCCTCTCCAGCCAACAGCCGTGCAGGGAGGGTTGGGATACATTTTGGAATTCTCTGTGCTCCTCTGCCTGGGCTGTCCTGTGTTTTCCTAGAACTGGGGGTTCTGTATCCCTTCAAGATTCTGTCCTTGCCTCGAAAATTGCAAAATCCATTTTCCCAGTGCTGCCACCTGATTAACATTCACCAGAAATCCCCAATTAAATATGTTTATTTTCCCTTTTCTGCTGCCTCTTCCCCGTTAAAATGGGAGCTGTTTACACGGGAGCCGCTTTCCTAAAATCTCTTTGCACACGAGCTTTTTGTCTTTTTTTTTTTTTCCTGCCTCGTTCCCTGCTTGATTTTTATTCCATTCCTTTGTCTGTCCTATATTTTTTCCCCTGGCTGATGCTGTCTAAGATAGGAACAAGCCCACGTTGAATTGCAAACACCCGGCAGTGGGAGCAGAACAAAATGGGAGTTGCACGAAGTAGGAAATTTCTTATCCCCCTAAAATAAAAAAAGGCTGATTGTCACTGCAGCCACCCCCGTGATGCAGCTTTAGGAGCTTGGGCTTGATTTTTGGGTGCTGCCCCTCTCTGTGCTCCTGTTTTTTTGGGGGGGGGGGGTTCAGCTCCTGCATTTTTTTCCTGCCAAAATTTTGGGGGTTGCTGGTGGGGAGTGGAGACAAAGCCAGGGGAGGATGTGGAGTGGTGGAGATTTTTCCCAAAGGAGATTTTTCCATCCCCAGGGAGCTCCTGGAGGAACCAGCTGGATTTGGGAGCGAGCTGAGCACAGCCAGGTGCTGGAGCTGTCCCAAAAAATGGGACTGAGCTGGAGATGCTGGCAAAGCTCCCACCTGTGACTCCACAGGAAGAGCCTGGGAGGGCTTCGCTTCATTTCCCTCTTTGTTCTGGGGTTTGCTGGGGGAAAAAGGGACTCCAGGGTAAAGAGGGGTGGCAGAAAAGAGGGGTGGGCACGGGGAAAAGCCTGGGGGGTTCCTCTGCAGGGGAAGGTGGGGCTGAGGAGGAGCCCCCAGAGCTCCGGATGCTCCTGGCTCGGGCATTCCCCTGGGAAGAGCAGCTCTGATAATGTGGAAATGCTGCCTGATGCTTTCCACAGGAAAAAGAGAAAAGGGAAAATGTCCAGGCTTTCACTTCAGAGGGGTTTAATTATTTTGAAAGCTGAGGAAACTGATTCTGGAGGAATTTTTGTTTCTTTTCCTCCTTTCATTCTCTTCCCTGCCTGGTCCCTTTCAAGGTTGGTTTTTTTTTTTTTTTTTTTTTTTTGGTTGGTTGGTTGGTTGTTTTTTTAAAATTTTGGGGGGGGGGTTCGGTTGGTTTTTGTTTTGTTTTTTTTTTTTTGAAAGTGGGGCTGGGAAAAACACAAAAAACTCTCTTAACTCTTCTGCATTTTAAAATAAAACAAGCTTCTGTAAATGAATAACTAATGGTCAGCCTGGCTGAAAACTTCTTCTCTACCTGTGACAAAGTGCTCTGGGGGAAACCCCTGTCCTTCGTCAAATCCCAAATTCTCTGGCTTTCCTTGTTTTTATCTCACTCCTGCTTTTTTTTGTTCAGAAAGTCGTGACAAAGGAGAGCTGGAGAGGAGCTTTGGACGAGGGACACAGGGAACGGCTTCCCACCGAGAGGGCAGGGAGAGGTGGGATTTTGGGAAGGAATTCCTGGCTGGATGGAATTCCCAGAGAATCTCTGGCTGCCCCTGGATCCCTGGGAGTGTCCCAGGGTCTTTAGGGACCCCAAACCAGCCCAGGGCGCCGCAGGAGCAGCTGAGATGAGCTCCAGCATCACCAGCTCTCCTGAGGCCTCGGGAGGGCTGAGCCAGAACAGGGACCAGACAGAAATAAAGAACAAAGCAGGGATTTATTAGGAGGCCTCAACGGATCCACACCGGGCAGCACAACCCAAAATGGCCACAAAATGAACCCAAAATGGCCACGAAACGAACCCAAGATGAACCCAAAATGGCCACAAAACGAACCCAAGATGAACCCAAATGGTCACAAAATGAACAACTGGTCACAGGGTCTCTCACTTTTATCACTTCTTCTCCATTTGCATATTGGAGTTAATTGTCCAATTCCAGCTCCAGCCCATGCAGTCCCATCCTTCTTGTTTTTCTCTCTTCAGCCCACGCTGTTTGTGCTCTTGGGCTGAGATTTGGATCATTTGTCCTTGGTCCCAGCTAGAGAAGGAATTGTTTTGTCTCCCTGCTCTGCGAGGAGAGCTCGCACCATGTATTTCCTAGTAAAACAGAGTGGTTTATTTTTAAATTTTGAACCATTTTGACGTGCTGAGCCCTGTCCTCCCTCAACACTCCGCGTGAGGGGGGCGAGAAGAGCCTGTGGGCTCTCCCCAGAGCCGCTGAGGGCAGGCGGGGAGCCGGGGGGCGGTGGGGCCGCTCGGAGCCTGTTCGGGGCTGTTCGGGACCATTCGGGGCCGCTCGGGACCATTCGCGACCATTCGCGATCGCTCGGGGTCGGTTCGGGGCCATTCGGGACCGGTTCGGGGGCACTCGGGACCATTCGGGATCGCTCGGGGTCGGTTCGGGACCGGTTCGGGGACACTCGGGACCATTCGGGACAGCTTCGGGACCATTCGGGGCTGGTTCGGGACCACTCGGGGCCGGTTCGGGGCCGGTTCGGGGCCATTCGAGGCCGGTTCGGAGCCGGTTCCGGAGCCGTTCAGGGCCCGTTCGGGGCCATTCGAGGCCGGTTCGGGCCCGGGCCCGCGCACATGGCCCAACCCGGGCACCGGGACCGCGCGTCCCGCCCGCGTCCCAAGCCCCGCCCCTAACCCCGCCCCGCGCCCGCAGCGCGCCCTCCCATTGGCCCGCGGCCTCTCGCTGCCGCGCTCCGATTGGCCGCCTCCCTCGAACTCCGCGGGCCCGTGGGCGGAAGCGGCGCTACGGCGGCCGCCGAGGGTCCCCCGAGCGCGCGCCCCCGGCCGTGTCGAAGGCGGCCGCCCCGCGCTGCCCGCCCGGCTCCGCCCGCCCGCCCGGGATGCGGCCCCGG